GTTGTAAGGTAAAGTCCTGAGGCCTTTTACAATTTTTGTTGCTCTCCTCTGAACTCTTTCTAGCAACTTATTGTCTTTTTTTATTTACGGGCGCCACGCTTGGATTCCATATTCCAGATGCGAGCGAGTGAACGCTCCGTACACTTTTCCAAATAACTCTTTGTCTATGTCCATGAAAGATCGTTTAATAGCTAAGAGAACACTAGTTGCTCTTTTGGACGCCCTAACACACTGAGATGAAGGCTTAGGGGTCGACAGAATGTTAACCCCAAGATCTTTCTGTTCGGTTACATTTGAAAGGCACCTTCCACCAAGTTGGTAATGGTGATCCTCTCCGTCAGATCTTCCAGTCGTTTTGAGTAGCAGCGCGACGCACTTCTCTAGGTTAAACTTTAGTAGCCATTTGTCAGACCATTCGCATAGGCGGTTCAGTCCTTCTTGCAGGGCCCGTTCATCATGTTCGCCGTTGATCGCTCGCCATAACTTGATGTCATCAGCAAACATGATTCCATTGCAGTCCAGTCCATTCATACAGTCGTTGACATAAATTAAAAATAGTACTGGTCCGAGTACGGAGCCCTGCGGAACTCCACTCACAACTGGCACTGGTGTTGACTTGTGGATGAGCGACAGCGATGGAAAGCAACCATTCGTGACAGCATTAACCTACAGCATGGAGCCGGCTGACCTCAGCCCCCCGGTAAATGCCGTCAGACGTCCAAGTAGGTAAAAGCTCCTCCAGGTGACAGCTTCGGTTGATTATGCTGACAAAAAAACATGCAGCAGATTATGGGCACATTCTGGGGACGGATGATGAATGGGAGCACGGTGAGAATGAGATCAAGAGGACCTTTCTGTGAGTCTAGTTGCTGGCGAGTCGGAGCATCCAAGGATAGCATATAATGGAACTGCATCTGGCGAAGGGTAGGCATGGAAGAAACAGATCCCTACTTCTGTCAGACCAGCAGCGACGGTGAAAGGCGTTAAGGTCTGCCCTATCAACAGCTTCCCTTCTCATCGCTACCCTGAAGTTACGTCCCCACAAACCAAAACGCTGAGGAGATGCAATCTCCAACTACCAATCCGAGCGAGTGGTGGCAAAAATGTTCAACAAACCTCCCAGTACAGCATAAAAAAGTAGAAAACTACAAGGGTAGGCGTCACAAAGGGGAGGGGAGAGTGAAAATCTGTGTACAAGACTGAAAAGTACACTGGCAGGCGATCCGTGCTAAAAAAAAAAAAGCTAGCAGAATGCAAAAAATCGCGTACAGTGAAAGATGGAGCATTTGAAAGAAACCCTCAGGAGGGTAATCTACTGTCCTCCAGTGTCTGACTGCTCGGATAGTAAACCTTGAAGGTGTACTCCAGTCGCACCTGGTCAGCCGCTATTGCAGACGCCACCTCTCCCTCCACCTCCTCCCCCTCCGCCTGTTCGTCACCCTCCTGAGTAGCCAGCGAACCAGCGACGGATGAGGTCTGCACGCTGCCGAAACGGCCCGGATTGGAGAAGAGACAGCCGCCGAGCAGGGCGGCCTTGGCCTTCCGGTCCGTGGCGCTGCAGGCGGCGGCGACGGCGGGGACATTCAGGTCGGCCACAGCGTTCGGTTCCACGGCCACAACCAGGTTCGGCAGCGGGTTGAGGGCCAGCGCCTGGTCCCAGCCCCAGTAGACGGGGCTCACGTGAAGTGCCAGGGGCGTTAGATGCGCCTGGCTGGCTAGACAACGCGCCAAGCTGAAGCCCAGTTCTGTGGAGGAGTTGGATGAGGGCGGGGATGCACCGGCCTCGGTTGAGGTCTCCTCCTCACCAGCGAATTCGGTGTCCGTTACAGTTGACTCGCCATTCTGGGAGGCAGGATTCTTCAAATTGGGATTAGGGGAGAGGGGAGCGGGAGGGACATAGAAACTTGGAATAAGTACTCCTTCTGCGAACGGCAGATAAATAAATTGTAAGTGGTTGACTGATTAGCAAGACATGGGGGCACGTCCGTCAACACGCTGGTCAAATCAATTATCACAAGCAGCTTATGGAGGGAGATCTCGGCAAGATCCTATTTCGTAGTCATACCTGTTAGGGATTAGGGTTAGGGTTCAGTTCAGTTCAGTTTATTTGAGGGAAATATAGGTGTTGAACCTTTGAACTCCCTATTTGTTACAAGGAAGTGAACTATATCAAAAGGTTAAAATGGAAACATCAAACAGCTACAGAGTGTCTTCAGATTGGCAAAGTTTTCGAGCCTGACGGATAAACGAATTGTTCCAAGAGTTAAAAACATTAACGTTACTAAGTGTGCTGTACAGTAGTCTGTCTATGGATAGTTGGTGCTATCTCAGTTTCGGAGGGAGACGAATTAGATGCCAACACACATTCAACAGACATTGGACAATAATAAAAAACAAAGGTTACTGAAATACAGGCAGTAATATAACAACATTAACAAACTGTGCGAACGAAATGCTAGACGTTGTCGGTCAGGTGGCATTGTGACGTTTTGTGGTAAACTGGTCCAACTTGCGCTTAAAAGCCTCGACGGAGGTGGACATGACGACATCTGTAGGCAGAGCATTCCAGGCCTCGATCACTCTGTTTGGAAAGAAGAACTTCCGAATGTCCAGCTTGGCGCCAGTTACGCGTAGCTCAAGTGGATGAACTCGGAGGTTCGTTGTGGTCATTAACTCAAAGAAATCAGCAGGTACGAGACAGCAGTCGTGGCCGCGCAGTATACGGAATGTTTGTATAAGGTCGCCTCTTAGCTGTCTGTAACTCAGTGGAAAAAGTCCGAGATTGGACAAACGTGTTTCATAGGGTAGTGAACCCTGTCCACTTACGAGTTTGGTCGCCCGCCTTTGGACTTTCTCAAGGATGCTGAGATCTTTAGATGTCCAGGGTTTCCACGCCTGAATAGCGAACTCTAGCTGTGGCCGTACGAAAGTCCGAAAGACTTTAACGAAGCAGTCCTCATCGAAGGTAGAGAAAGCTCTCTTAACAAGATAAAGGACTGACATCGCAGACTTGGCTACCTTGGAGCAGTGGAGCGACGATTTTAGAGAAGCCGTTACCCACAAGCCGAGGTCAAGGGTTAGGTTTAGGGTTAGGGGCTATGGTTAGGGGTTAGCTTGGGGCTTGTCTACTGCAGGAACGGCTACGAAATAAGATCCGCCTTAATAAAGACGGGCGGTAGCTGTGCCCATCCAGATTCCCATGCGGGGACATGCTTCAGCACAGATCGAGAAGGCGCATCCTAGTGTGGTTGTGTGTTGCTTAGGCGTACAGCAGGTACAAGATCCGATTGGCCTGGCCCAAGCAAGCTACTCACACTTGATTAGACTTTTGACCAGTAGCCGAATGCCGTCGCGCATTCGGTACCATCCGCTTGTGGGCTCTAAGCCCAAGGACGTTGCTAGACTATCACCGCTTCTCCACAAAGTGGACTCGATATAGTCAGATCTATGGAGGACGCAAAACCTGGCAGTCAAGGATGTTTAAGAATTGAATGCCAAGTGTCAAGAGAGCTTTCTCTGCCTTCGATGAGGACTGCTTCGTTAAAGTCTTTCGGACTTTCGTACGGCCACAGCTAGAGTTCGCTATTCAGGCGTGGAAACCCTGGACCTCTAAAGATCTCAGCATCCTTGAGAAAGTCCAAAGGCAGGCGACCAAACTCGTAAGTGGACAGGGTTCACTACCCTATGAAACACGTTTGTCCAATCTCGGACTTTTTCCACTGAGTTACAGACAGCTAAGAGGCGACCTTATACAAACATTCCGTATACTGCGCGGCCACGACTGCTGTCTCGTACCTGCTGATTTCTTTGAGTTAGCGACCACAACGAACCTCCGAGGTCATCCACTTAAGCTACGCGTAACTGGCGCCAAGCTGGACATTCGGAAGTTCTTTTTTTCAAACAGAGTGATCGAGGCCTGGAATGCTCTGCCTACAGATGTCGTCATGTCCACCTCCGTCGAGGCTTTTAAGCGCAAGTTGGACCAGTGTACCACCAAACGTCATAATGCCACCTAACCGACAACGTCAAGCATATCGTTCGAAAAGTTTGTTAATGTTGTTATATTACTACCTGTATTTCAGTAACGTTTGCTTTTTTTATTATTGTCCAATGTCTGTTGAATGTGTGTTGGCATCTAATTCGTCTCCCTCCGAAACTGAGATAGCAACAACTATCCATAGACAGACTACTGCACAGCACACTTGGTAACGTTAATGTTTTTTTGCAATTGGAACAATTCGTTTATCTGTCTGGCTTCGAAAACTTTGCCAATCTGAAGACACTCTGTAGCTGTTTGATGTTTCCATTTCAACTTTTTGATATAGTTCGCTTCCTTGTAACAAATAGGGAGTTCAAAGGTTCAACACCTATATTTCCCTCAAATAAACTGAACAAAAAAACGACAGTTGTCAAGAACCTGACCCCAACTGTGAATTCTCGAACCAGGAGAAGCGCCAGTTTAAAAGGATAATATGCGATTTGTGGAACAAGAAATCGATTGGCCCGATGTTTCGGATTCTCACCCAGGCTCATCAGGAGGGACGGTGGCAAAAGTGCCACCAGAATGATACTGTGTGCCCGAACCACCAAAGCTTCGGGGGGAATTGTGTCCACAGGAAGAAATCCACACAATCAACACAGAAGTTTGGCAATGCGGGTTTCGTAAAACACGATAGACGCAGTTCAGCAGAAAACAGTACGGGTGCTTACAGCGTCTAGCCCTGCTGAATAAATCCGCTTTTAACTTGGTCAGGGCAGGAGGGTTTGGATTTTATGGATACGATCGGCGACACTTCTGGGTTAGCAAACTGTCTTCGGTATGGCATCCAGCAGCTGTCACGAACCAAAGTTCCGCTCTTCCTAACTTACCAACACAGTAGCAAACGATGCGCAAAGGTGAACTTAGTAGCTGGCTGAGTTAGGTGTCATGAGGACAGGCCAGTAGATCACTGCGTCATTTAAAAGAGTAAACGCGACTGGTTTTCATAGAGCACAAGACTCGGATGGAGACCTCGGAACTACCCTGTTGACGAAGATGGCAAGAGTGAAACCATAACAGTTCTCAGACCGATCTTACTGATCTCTTATCACAAGTGGGCTGAGCACATTGGCCACCAGGTGTACTACGAAGCCCTTAAGATGAAAGCCATCACTTTTGACCAAAAGAAGACCACAGTTCACAAAACAATTACTTGATAAGTACTGGAATACAGGGCTGGAAGTGGACACCTCAATACCAAGAGAATATCAAACTGATAAAGAAACCCATTCTGTTGTTGAGTGGATCAAGTACATCTGCCCGGTTGGGTCTCGTTATTATACTGTTAGAAATAGAGCCCAACGGTGCAATTCGTCGCCTTCGGGTATTAGTCCTTTTCCTTATATTTACCTAATCTACTCAGGATATTTTCCTGCCAAGGTTTTCAGTTAAAACAGATGGAAAATTGAGCGGTAAATATTTAAATCCGGCCATTTAGTCAATTGGGGTGAGGCAGCATCAGCGAGAGGGGAGGAGGAGGAGGA